CAAAATCATTAAAAGCCTATTAACATGAAAAGGAAAACAACTTTGAATGTTAATAAAACACAAATACAATTTGTTGAACTTGTCTTCCCTCTTATTTTTGCCAGACACATTTGTAGAGAGTGGCTGGTATGGCAATAACCATCCCTCCTCACGGGCAGCAATGCAGGGCTGTTTTCTAATGTCATTATAAAAATAATTTGCAGATATCTTCATAAATTAACCTTTGCATCCGTATTCTGAAGAGTGGCTCAGGAAATGTCGGAAGTTTACCTAAAAAAGTACTGCAATTGTTGCATGAAACTATTATTTTTACAGCTGACTTTGCAAATGATCTTTCACTTTTTCACATACATTACAACTGGAAACAAAACAACCAAAAACCAGAACAGGCAACATGATATCTGGGACCTAAATAAGCATTCCTACACTCAGTCAGAAGAAAGCTCATCCTATGAGCTTTAGGTTACACAAACCTGTTATTTTTGTCTGGGTATTAGAAAGGCAATTCCTTTACAGTCTTCTTTTCTACTACTATTTTTGTCCACACATATACCCAATTTTCACATAAGCATCTTAAACCCACCCAACCCCCTATAAACTGAAACTGCCTAAATTCCTTAGATAAACTCACCTAGTCAGGTTAGTGTGTACAAAGGCCTCTGAGAACACAAAGGGGGGCGGTCACAGAGGGCTATCAGATAAAGCATCCTAGCTTCTATTTTATAGCTGCTATCCCTCTAACAAACTGCAAACCATTTCAAGTTAAACAACATTAATTGGGTCAGAAAATGAGAAAAAAAATTGAACAGAAATGTAGCAAAATAATATAGTAAAGGGAATTTAAAACTAAAGGGAATGTGTCTGTGGAGTGCATCCCATCCAGCTCCAGCTGCTTTGCTTTGGACTGGGGGGGTACCCCAGTTTTTGCAGGGAGCTCACCTGCAGCCTCAGCTGTCACTGGAGTCAAGCTGAAGCAGCTGGGGGAATCACTGCAGCTGAGTCTTTTGATATTAAAAGTAAAGACTCTCTGCAGGAGGGAAAAAGGGAGTCCTTTACACACCTACAACCTGTTCTTTTGGGGGGGAGGTTGTTGATACTGTGTTTGAAGTCACAAGCACTGTAAAGCTCTGTGTCTAGGGTTCTATGTTACATACTTAAGCTAAAAATACTTTTTAATCAGAGAAGCCAATATAACATCAGTTAGGCAGTGCAAAGGCCAGTCTGGTCGGGTTTTTTTCTTCCCATGAATGCTCACAAATTTGAGTTTGCTTTGAAAACTAAAATGGTACTTCAAAACGCAGGAGATTTAAGAATAAAATTCCCATTAGCAGCTGTTAACAAGAATGATCACTGTAAATCCCTCCATATTAAGACAAGAATAAACTCCCCGAATTCAAAGACTCTCTAAGGAAGAAAGAGGAGGTAAAAAGAAAAGCCCCAGAGACTCAGAACCCCCACAGGAGCAGGCTGGGAGCAGGGACCCACTGCCATCTCCAGGGCTCTGTTCCTGCAAGTGGGTCCCGATGCTCCGGCACCTGCCTTGGCTCTTCCCATCTCCCAAGTGACCCTTCCTGTTTCCCAGATGATGGAGCTTCTCCCTGTGGGTGTTTGCTGGGCAGTAAGGGACCAGCTAGGGTACCCACGCCCCAGGCCCAAGAGATGCATTTTCACCATTTCTGGGGCTTCCCAGGTTACAAACCCAGGTGTGCAATGAACGAACCACCAAGGACATGACTCCTCATCCCTGCTACTGCTGAAGCTGTGCAGCAAAGAATGAAAAATTCATGGAATAAAGTACACTGACACAAAATTGAATTTACTGAGGAAGTACAGCACTATCGCTGGCTGCTTGAGGAACTCATTTGAGTGAGTCCTCAGAGATTGCTGCCACGGTTGTTTCCTATGAAATACAGGGGCACGAGGTGGCACGTTCTTAGGACTTGGTCTCCTGATATGTCACCGTCACCTCCAGAGTTACCAAAACCCAAATGAACATGGTAACTGATGACATGTTTCTGATGCCAGTCTGCTGTAAATGTGTGAGAAACTGCGCTGGCTCTGACCCAGTTTCATCCCTCTGAGGGATACTGCTCTACCCAGTGAGCAGTGAGATACTGCTTCCACGCCGACCATGGGGTGTGTACACACGCTACGTTGACTCTCACGGCTCAGATGATGCAGGATAATGGCTTGACTCAGGCAGCTGTCTCCCCAGTGTGGCTCAAGCCCCAGACACCTCAGCCTTGCCTTTCCCTGTGAAGCATGGTTGCCGCCTGTCTTTGTGCATCCTCCTCTCTGGTGCAGGGAACCATGCATCCCACAGGATCAGCCAAGCATCTTCCCACTTGCTGGCACAGGCTTTCAGTAAGCAAGAGGCAATTAAGGGAAATTAACTTTTCCTTCAGCAGTGAAAGCAGTGGAGGGCAGTTCTGTTTCCCAGATGCGTGTTGTAATCCTGTCGTGTGAAACAGGGTACTTCTAGCTGTAAAAGGGCCACTGAGTCCAACCTTCATTCTTGGAAAGCAAGCAGCACCAACAGAGCAAGAGATTCTTAACCAGTTCATCACTTATCAAATTGCCCATCCTAATAAAAGCAACCTACTGTATAAATTGAAACACTGATACAGAAACAGTAGCCTAGGCCTCTGACAGTCCAGCTGAGTGCCCCAGCCAGCGGGTACAGTCAGCCTGCTCTGGGCTGGGTGTGCTCTTCTGAGACCAGTGCATGTTTTAAACATGGAGACTAGACTACTTTCATCGCACAATGCCATATAACCTACCTGCTTATCACAGTGGTTGGTTGTAGAAGATGGATGTATAGAAAATTGTGAGTTATCTCAAGCAGAAGTAAAACACAACCCCAAAACCTGAGCTTGGTGTCTTGCAGCTAAAAGCAGCACCCAGTCATCACTCATTTCAGTTGGAATCAGCCAGTTCAGATCACCACCCCAGCAGATGACTATTCCAGGTTTGTGTCATGTTAGGTTTTTGCCTGCATTGTGAGTCACATCAGCTCAACAGAGCCCAAGGCCAACACCAGCAGTAAGCACGAGGTGGATGCAGGAATGGTGGGGTGTGGAGTACTCCCTCAGTTAGTGTGGAGTACTCCCTCAGTACTCCCTCAGAAAGCAATGAGCTGCTAGAAAACTTCAACACGTCATGTAGTTTTAGTCTGTTTCCATTTATAGCTTCAAACTTTGATGACTTTGGTGTTACATTAGCCCCTAACTGATCCCAAAAGGTACTAGGTGGTCTTCTTAGCCATACGAATGAGATGTAACTAAGGATGGAGTTTGAAACAGCACAGGAGGACCTCTCTTAAAAGCACTAACTCCTCTCTAAAATGAAAGTATTTGCAAAAGCTTCTCTTCTGGACAACAAAAGGTTGTCAGAGTCAAGGCTGAAGCTATTTCCCTATTGGAGAAGAAATTAATTGCTATGGATTCTGGGGGTGCTGTGCAGCCCTGGTGCTGGCAGATGCAGAACCAGGAGCACAGGAGCAGCTGTCCATCCACCATGCTATGGTCCATCCCATCCTATCCATCCCACCCAGTAGCCAACAGACGGTCAACATTAGGTGTGCATTAAGCAGAGGTGGCATAATGAATGTGCCATCTAAGGATTCCTCCTAAACTCCAGTTGCTGCCTGCTGTTGCAAACATGATAACATACCTGTTAGCAGTAAGCAGGGGCAGATTTACAGCAACAGGCTGAGAGGGCAGTGGCTCTCTAACCACCATCTGTTCGGCACCCATCATGGCTTACAGGATGGAGAAACCAGTGTGCACGGCTGCACCCAGCTTTTCCAGCAACTCTTACAATCCAGGAAAGTCTTGTTACAAAGCACAAGCTCTTCAAACGTTATTTATTGCCTGGTTCTGTAGATGTGTATTAGAAAAGTATCTCCCTCTCCTCTGGCATGGAATATTCTCTGACTTTCTGTGAATACCCCTATTTTCACGGGTGGGAAACAGGGACAACAGCTGCCCCTGTCCTGCTTTTCTATTCAGCCTTTATACCCCAAAAGGCAAAGAAGCACAGAGCAGAGAGCTTGACTGTGCAGTCAGCTAGCAGGGAGAGGCAGGTAGCAGCAGCTTAATCTAAGTTCATTGTCATGGACTTCTAAAGGTTCTTTAGTGGATCACAAGGGGTGCGCGGATGAGTCCTTCTAGACTATTTATTATTTTGCCTCCTTTTTTTATGTGTCCTTTTTATTTGTCTCATCTCTAAGGGAAACAACTCCAACCTTATCAGTCTCCCTTCATATGAGAGTTTTTCTCTGCTCCAACGTTTGTCACCCTTCCCTGAACCCTTTTTAATTCTTTTGTTATTACTTTGAACAAAGATGGATGGAACAGCAGAAGCAGCAGCAGTTCTCCAGCCACATGACTTGCAAACTACAGAAAATCAGGTCAAGGCTAAGCTGAACTCTGGAGCAGCAATAGCGGGGTCAGTGGAGTAACCTCAGGAATGAGCGTACTCCTCTTCAGTTAAGTCTCTTGCCAAATTCACTTTCCTTAGTATTGTTTAGGCTGTGGAAAGCAACTGTTGCTGACAACAGGTTGTCCATAGTGCGTGCAACTGAAGTCGTGTCAAACATATTTTAGCTGGAAATGTGGATACACACAAGCCATACTAAGCAGTTAAGTAAAATCGTGTCTAAACCTGTCTGTACAGCATTGCAACACCTGACCACAGAAATGATCTGGCCAGCTCAGACTCCTGTTCAGATCACTGCCAAAAAGAAGGGACAAGAAACACACTATAGGGGCCTGCCTTTTGTTCACGTGGCTTTTGTCATCTTGTGCTGTCTAACAGGGTTTAGATATTTTTATTCTCCATACAGAGACATTTCCTTGCTTTTATTTTCACTAAATCCTTCATTTTGATGCATCAATCAATACCATAAATTAATAATACAGCACTCAGGATGTGCTGCTTTTCACTTCCATTTCAAATTGCCTTGTTTTGGCATTATGCTCAAGAATAAATAGGAGACCTTGATTTTCTATTACATTTATTGTTTTGTTCATCTTCCACTCCATATTGGCTCTATTCATACATTTACTTTTTTATCTGCTTTCTGAATCAAGCAGCTGTGGTCTCTCTTTATACAGAAGTATTGCCAGGCTTTTAAAGGATGCCTGTTGGTGTGGTAAGAATCTGCTTTGTCCAAGTACTCTGCAACCTAAAGGGAACCTGATGCAATACAACCAACCTCCCGTTAAGTATAACAATGAATTATCTTTGTGTAAGTTCTCAGGCTTTGTGGAGTTTCAATCAGGTGTACAAATTTGGACCAGTGTCTTGAGCAGTGCCATCCTTCCTGCTCCCGTATAGTTTGACCTAATCCCATGGCAGCTGACAGAAGCTCTTCCAGCCCTTCGCAGGTCCTAGGGCTCTTTCATCCATTGGTTTAAGGGAACTGTTGGAAAAAAAGGAAGACGGAAGCACAATCAGATGAAATGAAATGAGATGAGTGACATAACAGGGCAATGCTGGAACCACCACTGGTCAATCTCATAGCAACACCTTCACACACTAGGCCTGTGAGATTTTCCTTCAGGCAGATGTGTTTGACTTGCCAGTGGCAATAATTGCTTCCCGTATTGAGGATGCATAGTGCAATATGGTGATTTGTATTCTGAATATATCTGTACAGTCACAGTTAAAAGTCACCAACAAAAGCCAAACCAGATGTCTAGTGATATGTGTGTTAGTGCTGAGCTCAGACAGGTTTCCACAATCTTGAATTTTCTTGTCCAGAACCAAACAAAAGCCGACAGGAGCCCAGTTTCATGAAAGTGATGCAGGTTTTATGAACCCCTGGATACAGCCTACTCTGCAGATGCAACCACAGCCACCATGCTAGTGCTGGCCCCCTCTCTTACTTGCACCAGAGCCCCCACATCCTTCTCCACCATGGGGCTGGGCTGAGCTCAGCTAGAGAGCTGACCTTCTTCTCTATGCAGAGAGCAAAGGGCTACACAGGCACTACCTGCCAGTTCCCAGCTGGACTCTGCTGAATAAGAGCATCACAGATCTCTGTCATACCCAGGCAAAGGGATATTCATGAATTCTCACTTTAAATCTCATTCCATTTAAAAAACTGCTGTCCCCTTGAGAGTTTTTTTTTTCAGTACTTGCAAACCTGCCAGGTTTTTTAACATATAAATAGGAACATTTAGTAAGAAAACAGGGACATGATTCTAACTCTATCGAAATACATGTGATAGAAAGAGCTTTTAGGAGAAAAAGAATTGAAAAGATTCACTGCTTTTAAAGAATGGTTAAACCCCATCTTTCATTAGAGAAAGACCTAGGAGGAATGGCTTTGATCCCTCAATATTATCAGAGCAAAGGGAGTTAATACCTACTTCTAGAGTAGCAGCATTAGCTTTTGTACAGAATTCTTTAAATGACTTCCAGGGCCATTAAAGTCAATTGTAAAACACCACTGCCTTTACCTAACCAGAATTACCCCAGCAGATCAGTCCACAAAAGGCTTTAGATGTCGCAATATCAAGTGCTGAAATTATGAACTTCTGCTACTTTCGGCCAGCTTCATCCCACTAACTTTGGGAACCTTAGCCGAGAACAAAAATCTTGCTCAGCCCCTCCGAGGTCAGTGGAGAACTCCAGGCAATAGTTTAGGCTGTTATGTGGGATGAATCCAAGATTTTGGACCCCCCAGAAATAACCTGCCTGGGGGTATGTTCCTAGGTTCCCTGTTGAATAAATGGAGACATATATGGAATAGTATCTGGGAAGGCCATGAAAAGGAATGGGGAGCCCTCTCACTGAGCTGGCACTAAGGGGATGGGGGTAAAAGCCTCTTTTCCCTCAGTCCCAGCAAGCTGCTGGTGCAACCTTCTTACTTTTCTTGCTTTCTAGAAGCAGCGAGGACATCCATACAGGTCTGTGGGAGCCTTGGTCACTCTGCTCAAGGCAATTTTAACCTAATCTTGTAGCCAACAGTATCAAACTGGATGGTGCTCTCCCAGTTTCTCCATAGTAAATTGTTCTAGTTTTTATCAAATGCTTATATGTCTGTTGTACTTGCAAGGCAGAAAGCTCCTCCCTAATCTAGTGTTGTGGTTTAAGCCCAGCTGGTAACTCAGCACTACACAGCTGCTTGCTCACTCCCCAGAATGGGGAGGAGAATCAAAAGAATGCAAACTGTACAGGCCGAGATAAGAGTTTAATAACTAAAATAAAGTAAAATATAGTGATAATAGAAAGAACACCAATAATAATAATAATAATGACAAGAGGAAACAACAAGAGAAGAAAGGAAAGCTCAGAAAACTCAAGTGATGCACAATACAATTGCTCCCCACTCACTGACGGATACCCAGCCCGACCTGAGCAGTGATCTGCCCTTCCCGGTAACTTCCTCTGGTTTATATACTGGGCATGATGTGTTGTGGCATGGAATACCCCTTTGGCTAGTTTGGGTCAGGTGTCCTGTCTCTGCTTCCTTCCGCCTTCTTGTTCCCCTTCTCACTGGCAGAGCATGAAACTGAAAAGTCCTTGATTGGGGTAAGCATTACTTAGCAACAGCTAAAAACATCGGTGTGTTGTCAGCATTGTTCTTAGACTAAAGCTGAAACAAAGCCCTGTACCAGCTACTAGGAAAGAGGAAAATAACTGTTACAGCTGAACCCAGGACATCTAGGCACCTAGAGTATGAGCTGAAGAGGGTTGCATTCTGTTTTCTGCTGTCATGATTATCACTTATTTTACATGAAACATTGACTGGAGAAGAAAAAACTTGATCTGAAAGAAGAAATGATCATGTTTAGTGGATATGGGAAAACACCTAGTTGCCCTAAGTAATGAGACAGGGTTGGTCATGTCCCTAAACTATCTTCCAAGAATTAAGGACTTTACTGGCAGAAACACTGGGGCCTGGAGACTTAAGATCCTGACAGGGTCAGCCAGCACCAGAGACAAGATTTTAAGTATTTAATTATGGATTGATATCCCCATATGCATATATGATGTGCTGGAGATACTGCTGCTTCCAGCTTTCTCTACAATATGAATCTTAAGGGGAAGTCCAACAACCACAAAGAAAAAGGATACCCTGGACTCCTTTAGTCTGGTTCCTCTCCCACATGTAGATGGAGGCATACATGTAGCACACTGCCATTAATAAGTCAAAATTATATAAACAACTGTCAATTTTGAACGACACAAGGAATGCGTTGACCTGCTGTCTACATACCACTCGCACTGGCATAGCATGATTGCAAAAGAAGATAAATAAATGGGGTTTTACCTAGTGGTCTGAGATCTGTTTTAAAAACATAAATGCCACTAAGAGACAAGAGTGTGCCACCTCTGGGATTACCACCTAAGGCTGTTTGGAAGACTGAGAAGAGGCTAGATAAAATAATGACGACCAAGGTCATCAGCTGCATTTCATGCATTTTCATGCATTTTTGTACTGGAAACAAAGTCTTCTATTCATTTACATGTACTGTTTGTTGGGTTTTTTTTCTGATTACAGCATTACAGAATGCTTTTGTGCAATATATTCCCTATTTTATAAAGCTCTCACAGAAACTACACACACACTTAATATGTATATAAACATAATTTATAATAAGATAAATAATTCCTTGACTTCACAGTGGAAATTAAAATTATCTGGTTTTCAATAATGAAGAGGAGAATCAGATACAGGTTAATGAGAAGATTTGTCTGATTAACCTTCTCCACAGTCAATGGCTTCTAATGGTCCATCAGTCATCCATGCCTAAGTAGTGTTGCCAAATGAATTCAATCCATGCCCAAGCATGTATTTATAGAAGCAACCATAGGTCACTAAATAAAACCTGGAACCACGTGTTAGTCAATGAACATCAGGCAAACCATGCCCAGAGCATTCAAACACCGAAAGCTGCACTCTGCATGACCGAATTATTAGACATTACAGTTTCACTGGTATTATATACCCATGTGAGAATTGAATCACATGAGAAAGAAGGGTCACAAGCAACAAGAAATCCCCAGAGATTTTGACTTGTTAATAGACACGATTCTTCACAGCAGTGACTGATAGACAATTGTGCTTAGCAATTGGAAAGTGACATTCCTGTGTGTAAAATTAGTAGTTGGTTTTAATCCAGTTAGCAGCAGTGAGAATGTAGCTGTATTATTAAACCCTCTTGTGCTCTGATGGAACAGGGGCTGGAGTTTGAGAAGCTGAAATAAGAAGGTGAGATGATAGACTTCATTCCCTCTCTTAATACTTTGATTAAATTGTCCCCATAGGACAGTGTGGGGAATTTCCCTTTTCCTCTGCCTTTCCAGCATCTGTTACAAAGACAGATACAAGTCCTTTTTCTGAAGATACCAAGTAAATACCTGAAATGTCATTAACTCTTCTTTAAAAAATAAAAACAAAGCCAAAACCACAATGTGTAGGTGGAACCCAGATGTTGTTCTACAGTGTTATCGGTACCAAAGGTCATTTTGGGAAAAGACTTGTGAAACCATTTAGGATTTTTGTTGCCATGCTTGAGGACATAAATCAGGCACCAGCTGCCAGAAGTTAAGAACTGTCCCTGTGATTTGGTTACTACATAATGTATTCATAGGATCTATTCAACCTCCCTTTGAAACATACAGTGTTGACCACCGTGCAAGAAACAGTAATGGACTCATCAGACTAGTGCTATGAAGACAGGCTGAGAGAGTTGGGCTTGTTCAGCCTGGAGAAGAGAAGGCTCTGGGGAGACATTATCACAGCCTTTCTAAAGGGCGCCTATAAGAAATCTGAAGAGGGACTTTTTACAAGGGCATGTAGGGACAGGACAAGGGCAATGCCTTTAAACTGACAGAGAAGAGATTTAGGTTACATATAAGGAAGAAGTTCATTACTATGAGGGTGGTGAGGCACTGGAACAGGTTACCCAGGGAAGCTGTGGATGCCCCATTCCTGGAAGTGTTCAAGGCCAGGTTGGATGGGGCTTTGAGCAACCTGGTCTAGTGGAAGGTGTCCCTGCATGTGCCAGGGGGCTTTGAACCAGATAATGCCCTTTCCAACTCCAATCAATCTATGATTCTATGGTTCTATGTTTCTATGATAATTAATAAAGCAAGGACAACAATTCATTGCCAGTAATTTATTGCCTAACTTGATAGGGTTTTTCTCTTTATGAACTGCCACAGACTAAGGTCCAAACTTTCAAATATGACTGTGATTCCAAATTAATTGTGATTCCCACTATAAAAATCTCTTACATATGAGAGGGTTCATTAAGATAAAAAGTGTAGACTGCATAAGTAGGCTTTTCATTGTTTCAGGTTTCAGTCAGTCTCATATCTTCAAATAAGTATCATAGTACAAATTGAAAACACTGAATAATCCAAATGAATATGCGATGAAAAACTTTTGAAATAAAGAACATAAATGATGCCTTTTGTGCACACTGGTGATGCAAAGTTGCAAGAGATCAAGTGCTTATAAACCCAAACTGTACTGTGTGTTGAATTCCAAGTGCCAGACATTCAAGCCTGGGAGCATTTTTTTTGCCAAATTCTATCTTTTCCACAAGCCTGGCCAAAGGACAGACCCTGCCTCTCACCCTGCATTACTGTGCTGTCTAAAACCAGATTTTGGCTTCGGTGTCAGGGGTACACCCATCACTACTTGGCCCTACCATCTGTACTGAGGGAAGCATCTAGCCAACAACTTGGCTCTTCAGCACCACTTTCTTAATTATGTTTTGCTAATTATGTTATTGACCTTCCTCTGAGGAAGTTCCTCTCTTGTGAGAGCAATATTAACTCAATTAATTTAAAAAACAGAAGGTGTTTCTTCTTTTTTTAACAAAGCAGAGAGCATTCTAAAAATGGCATGGAAAGGAAGGGTACCACAGCACAAATGCCCCTGCTGCCTACATTTGGCCATCTCAGACTAATGGAAATTATTCTCTTTCTCGTTACCAAAAGTATAGATTGTGAGCAGAAATGGGCAAACTACGGGTCCTGGGTTCAGCAGCAGCAGTCATTTTTTCTCCTCCTTAGTAGCTGGTGCAGTGCTGTGGTTTTGACTTTCAGCCTGGGAACAGCACTGATAACACCGATGTTTTTAGTTGTTGCTCAGTAATGTTTACTCTGACCAAGGACTTTCTGAGTCTCATGATCTGCCAGGGAGGAGGGGAAGTGGGAGGAAGCAGAGACAGGACACCTGACCCAACCTAGCCAAAGAGGTTTTTCCATACTACAGCACGTCATGCCCACTATATAAACTGGTGGCAGTTACCCAGAAGGGCTAGATCACTGCTCGGTCGGGCTGGGTATTGGTTGGTGGGTGGTGAGCGGTTGTATTCTCTCCCCTTGTTATTTCCTTTATCATTATTATTATTGGTGGTAGCAGCAGTGGTTTGTGTCATACCTTAGTTACTGGACTGTTCTTATCTCAACCCATGGGAGTTACATTCTTTCGATTCTCCTCCTCATCCCTCTGGGAGCCAGGGGGAAGGAACAGGGGGGAGTGAGAGAGAGACTGCATGGTTCTGAGTTACAGCTGGGTTTAAACTGTGACACTATCTCTTTACCATAATAATAAGGAAATAATATGTGCCTAATGTAGATCATTGCTTCACTTACTCTAAACTGCTCTAAACAGGATATTGTTCTTTTACAATATAAAAAGTATTTGATTGATACAAACAACACATAGGACAAATTGCTAGGGGGCAAGTAAAGAATACATTCTGGTAAGCAAAAGGTAAAGTCATAAGGAGACAAGTAAGAAAAACCTTTTGAGAGACAACTGGCTAAAAGAATCAAAAGAAGTAGTCAAACCTTTCTCAAACAGGCAGCCTGTCAGGTAGTCAATGAGGCCCACAGGTCTTCAAGAAAGGAATAGCAAAGTGGACTCTAGCCAGGTAAGAGCATCTCATGGAGATTCCCACTGCATCAGCTTTCCTGGTGACAACAAATAGGAGCAGCTCAAAACTAGTAGGGGAAGATTACTAAAATAGGTAGGTAGTAACGAATCAGCGTGACCATATGGTATTTACCCAGGATTGTAAAAGCTCTGCTAACTGCAGTGCACAACCCACTACTTAAAGGGTACTAAAGCAATAAAAAACCAGATGTGAACATAGTTTTGGAAAAGAAAGTTAGAAAAGGTCCAGAGACCTACAGATTTATAAATCTGACTTGGGAACAGTGACCTGGGAAACTTACAATAAAGCATAGAACTGAGACACGGGGCAAATGAGTACAACTGGGAAAAAATACTATGAACTTCTGTAGGGAGAAAATCTTACCTCATAAATCCACTGAGCTCCTTGGAAAAAGTCAGTGAGAGCACAGATTGCAGTGGTGCTGTCAATGCAGCACACTTGTGTTTCCAACAGGGTTTTGACAAGGTCCCTCCCAGGAGGTTTCTAAATAAATAAATAAAGCTTTTGTGGTCAGAAAGGGTAGGCACAAAAGGTCATTTTTTTTTCAAAAAAGAGAGATTTCCAGAGGAGGCTCAGCAGCATCTGTGAAGTTGTGAGCTCCATTTGCCCATAAATCATCCGAGAAAGGTGAATGGCAGCGTGGCAGGGTTTGTTGATGGTACAAAATAGTTTAGGGCAATATAAACAAAAGCTGACTGCAGTGTGACAGAGACCACTCACAATATGACGCACGTGGGAGTCATCTTATCTAACCACCAACATCTACAACATAGCTCTTAGAGAAATCAAGAGTCACTTGAGGCTCCTTTTGTACTCAGTGGAGAGAAACAGGCACTTTTAAGGCTCGATTCCCCTGGTCTGTCTGGGATACAGACATTAGAATCAGACAAATCACAACCCTGAAGATGCCTCTTTCTGCTGCCTGGCTCAGATGCCATTCATCTACATTTAGTAGGATGAACACGCTCTGAATATGCAGGCAGTAAAATAGCAGACAAAATTCAATGTCAATAAATGTGAAGTAATGAATATGGAGGGAAACAACCTTAACTAGACATATATAACTTAATGGATTTTAAATTGGCTATTACCTTTCAGGAAAGAGAACTAGGAGTCACTGCTGGTAGGTCTGTGGGAAGCTCTCAGTTCACTGTTAACACCAGCCAGAAAGACATGCAGCTTTGTCAAGCGTCAGTGATCTGGAGACTCTGAGCCCATAATAACACAGGTACAATTTAGGACAGGTCAGACAGGATTTTTATTAACTGTGATTGGAGGGAGAGACCATTTGGACAGCATTGCCCCCTCTGCTCCCCAGTGCTCTGCCAAGTGACTGCAGAGACCTAGCCTATAGACTGTGCCAGTATATAGGAACGGGATAAAAGCCAAACCAGAAATTAAATGATGGCATTGTACAGATGGTGTGAATTTACCCATCTTATGGTGACAGTTCAGGTTCTATAATGTGAAAAATCACTGTAGAAATGATACAGGTGTAGGAGAAAGACAAAGGGGGTGGTCCAAAGGTTGAGACACCTTCTGTATGGAGAAAAACTACATCAGCAGGATTCATTATTTGGAAAAGAGACATTTAGGTCAATAAAATCAGAATTGATGTGGAAAAGATGCTTACTTATTCACTCTTTGTTGTAATTCTACCAACATAAATGGAAGGAAGAAAATTCTCAGAATGGGCTTGTCATCACAGGCACATTGACAACAGCATATTCTGAACCTAAGCTAGCAAAAGCCCTGATACACTGAAGTGCACTGCAGCTGGCTCCCAGGGGGTGGTGTGTGGGAAGGAACAGCAGAAGGAAGATGTTCAGGGGCAACCTTTAGGGGAAACCATAGATGAGAGGACAAACAAAAAGCTAACAGAAGGCCCATCAGACCCCGTGCAGCTGGAGAGCAGGGGACTGCCGAGAGAGGCTGTACAGAGTGCAGGGTTCGGAGAGCTGGGAGAAACATAGAGCTTGGAAAAACCCTGTGCATAATGAAAGATAAGGCAAACAAACATGTGGTTTCTCAATCCACTGACAGCATAGAGTCTAAGTAGACAGACATGTGGGGCTGTTGACTGTGAATCCCAGGGAAGCCTGTTCCCTAGCTGTAGGTAGATTATCCAGCACTGCATTTAGCACAAGGCCAGTGAGTAATCACCTGGGGCATCACTTAGGGTACAAAGTTTAAAAGGGTCCTAATAATGCACAATGAAACAGAAAACTGACAGAGTGCAGGAAACACTGAAACTCCTGTAGATCAGAACTGTGATTCTTCTACAGCAAGCAACCTCAGAAAAGTTCTAAAAACCTGAATTATACCTGATATTTTGCATACATTGTATAAATACATATAATTTTTGAGAGTCTGAATATAGGCATTTGGGAAGATGTCTAAGCTGCTGATCAAAGATCAATTTTTAAGAACTGACAAAGCTTCAAATCTGGTAACGTGCAACAAAAAATTGTGAATTAGCAGTTTCTGTGTTGAAGGTCTTCCAAACACAGAGGAGACTGAAAAATGGCAGGAGAAAAACTAAAAAGAAGTACAAATCTTCTCCCATGTCCTTCACAATGGGTGAAGCACTATGCAGGAAAGAACAGCTCTATGCAGGAAAGAAAGCAGATGTGTTTCCAGCTGTGGCATCCACTTAGAAAAGTATCAGATTATATTCTGTACTGCTTGAAAGAAACTAAAAGAGCCAACTCAGTATCCAACAGACCTGTACTAATGGAGGATTGGACGGAGTATTTAACCCACAATCTTTGCAAAGCTTGGAGAAATGCACTTCTTGCTGGAAAGAGGCACAACCTTGATTTTCCTTATGGATCCTGTAGTACTGGTTCCCAGAGCAGGAGCAATAACAGGCTGGGCAAGGGGACGGTGGTGGTGGGACAGCAGCAGTGGTGGCACTGTCTATGGTGGCTCTGCTTCCCCACAGGTCCCACCGCACCACGACTGACATTGAAACGTTCAGCACATAGGCAGGAATTTGCCTGGCCCCTCCATTCACAGAGCATGAAGTCTCTGCATCTTTCTTTTTTATTGTTTTCTTTAGCCTCTCCCTTGTTCAAAGGCTCATGCTGGATGATCTAAACCCTTGTGGTTAACAGCTTATTTAATGAAATATTGATATTTTCTTTTTCCCTCATGCTTTAGGAAATAGGTCTTTGAGCACTTTGATGAAGTACCGTAGTTTCCTCGAACTCTTTTCAAGGTCTAACTGAAAGCCTAAATCCTAAACTGAATGTTTCCTATTAAATTATATCCACATTTCCTACAAGTCCTATAAAAATAAAGTATGATCTTGGTGGATCTCCGATGAAGGAGAACACCACAACTTTTCCAGTTTTTCCAGCGGTAGAGGTCCATCTACAGCCACACATGGAAAAACAGATGAGTGTGGTTTTGAGAGGAAATTACCCTCACCAAAAACCAGAGGAGTGAAGCAATGAACTCTGTAACAGTCACTTGGTAACTAAAATTAAACAAAGTGGAAACAAGATGATGTGCTTATCTTGAAGAAAAAGAAGAGTAGCATGTATAATTTGGATAGTATAAAATAAATGCAATTAGAGAATATATAAAAGGAATGTGTACATTACTTCTGATTACTGATTTATAAATTCAGTACTAGAGATGAAGATGCACTAGGAACTAACGTACACCCAATTTGATTAATATCTTAAAAAAATTGGAAACAGAAGCTATCAGTAATTTAAAATCATAAACGAAAATAAGAGCATCTGTAGGGTTCTGAAACAGATTTTAACTGAATGTAACCTGATGTTATAATAAAAACATCTCTAGAGAAAATTTTTCAAAATACCCATGGTATTTCCCGTTAGTATTCATCACAATGTAGTCCGAATGGAATCATAGTAAAGAGTAACAGTACAGAGGAGGTGTAACTCCAAATTGATAAATTCTGCAATAAAGTACCATAATCTGAAATACTGCCTATGCAAAGCACATTTTAAATATTTTTCAGTTTCCTTCATGGGTAAGTTTCAGATTTAATGATTCACAGGAAAATTTATTTTGAATCTGATTCTGCTTTTTTTCCTCATATGAGTTCCCTGGGATGAATAGGAAAAAAAATAGGTTTTTTTTCTGAAAACTTCTGGAACTTTTCTGTACCAGATGAATTCTTTCTATGGAGCATCAAAGAGACTGAATATATGCTGGAAGCCTTTCTGAACCAGGATTTTCACTTTGCCCAGTGGAAAGCATCTGGCTGCATAGCAGTTTTAACCAGTTTTAAAATTTCTATCACTCAAGTACGAATAAATGGGCTCTTGGTTAGAAGAGTTTGTGATCCACAGCCATCTTTAAACTTTGTTTAAATCTGAGATAAACATGGGTTCAGTGCACATAACTGAGGTAATTTAAAAGTGTAGCCTACACACTAATGCCAACTTGAATCAGCTGAGGATCTAGTCAGAAATATTGTCCAGAGCACCCACAGAAACCTTGCACAGATTGCCTGTCTGCATATTTTCAGTATGCTCTGTAAGAGATTATGCTGGAGAAAGTCATAGGTAAATGCTGTTATCTCCTGTGTGTTATCTGCACGGGCAAACAAATGCTTTATGTTTTTTCTCTTTTAAACTCTACATAATTAAGGCTTGCGGCCATTAGCAGAGAAGTCTGCGTTGGTAAGAGGTAAAGTATTTGTTAAATACCTCCAGGTTACTCCTTTTTTTGTGATGTGAAAATAGGAAAAGAACTATCCATCCATGTCATGTGCTGAAGCAATGAAGCTGCTAGAAAACAAAAGGCTTTATTTGTGGAAGAGAAAACACAAGTGTTGATTTACTTCACTACAATACATAGAAAAACAGGTTAAACAGTGGATAACTCTTTAAATTGGAAATTCAGAGCCATATCTGAGGAAGTTCCCCACTGGTTCTCTCCATTTGCAAATTACAAATGTGTGTCTGACAGTCAAGACTTCTGCTCAAACTCAAAACTAAGAAACAAATTAGATAGACATAAAATACAATAGACTTCAGGAAACGTCTCAAGGTCTTCCAAAACTTAGACTAAAACTAAACGTCACCAAGGAAAGAATCAATAGCTTTGCCTTGTTTTTCTTTCCTTTTTTAATCTCAATCACTATTATTAGTCACCATAAGGAAAAGACAAGGCATTTTCCTTCCCTAGCTAGGTTTAGAATAACGTCTTTGGCTGGTGGGTTTTGTGCGAGAGAGGATGAGAGGCAGGGGAAGGTGTTTGTTTTGTAAGTACAACACATGCAGGTCTGAGCTGAATGACTAGAAGAGTTATCCCCAGAGTACGTTGTCCTCTGAGAGTTAATTAGTGGACCTGGCTTGCTAATAAAAGGGTAAAATGCACCTTGACCAGCTCCATAATAAAAAAAAAATGGAAAGGAAGGTGGTATTGTGATATTGTGATATCGAATCATGAAGCCTCAAATATCCATGCAGTGAGTTGTAAGGGGTGGTGGTCTGTGACATGCTTCTTTGTCACCCCAGTCATCTCTGTGCTGAAACTCTACCCTCATGGCAAGGAATTTTCTGGCACTGATTTGTATGACTATTGCTCCCAAAGTCACTAAAGCCAAGGCAAAAATGCCCCAAATCCCACTGACTGCACAAAGGGTCATCATGTGCTCTGCAAGAGCCCCAGGGCATAGGAAGAGTTGTGCCCTCATGATGGCACAGCAAAGGTGCTGCTACCTGTTCTATGTCACATGCAGAGGCAAAGTGTGGTGACACAACAGGCACAAACACAGGTCTTGAGGACACAAGATAGCCAGGATGTTGAGCAGGGCACCGTTCTAGTAGGATGCGCACAGCAAATGCCAGCACAGGCTTTGTTCTGGGGCTAAATACCCAGCGCCTCTCTCCTGCCTCTCCCTAACAATCTCCAGTTCCTCTCCAAAGCCTCCCACCTGCATTCCTGAGCTGCAGGGGTGACCTCCATGGGGCATTTGCCTTGACATGGGATGTGGGGAGCCCTCTGCACACATAAAACTTAAGAGACCTTGGCGAAGGCCATTCCTTCACCTTTCTCCCACTCCCATTTCCAAATGCAGCATTAGAGTCCCTCCTGTCTGCCCAGCTGATGAAATATAGCTGTTGTAAAATGCTCGCTAACCACATTTAGCAAATGGAGATAATCAAATAAAAATTAAACTATACTTACTAAAGAAATGCAGTTTCCAAAACACAGACTTTGGCTAGAGACTGTGTTTTGCTTAAGAGCCTGCCAGGAGATCTGTGGACTGTTTGGTAAACAGTTCTCAAACGGGTGTTTGTGGGAGAGACACATGGGAAGGGGATGAGAGACAGATGGACATATTCAATGTATCCCAAGGGAAGTTCATCAGGAAAGAAAACACTTGAGAGCCGCTTTGATGGGGATTTTTGAGAACTGTGTACAGTGGAAAGGAGGTGAACAGGGAATTGCTGTTCATTGTTTCCCATTGTTTCCTGCTACACAGAAGCTAAGTGACAGCCTCAACTGTATGTTTAACGCAAACAAAAGGAAGCATTTTTCCAACATAACACACAATTTAATTTTGTAATTTCTTGCTACCAAAGTTATAAATGAGCTTTAAAGGAAATTAGATGAGTTTGTGAAGGATGGGATTACCAGGACTGTTTAGCAGCATGGTTTAGGTGCAATCTGCAGCCTCAGTCATCCAAACCCAATAACTGCTGAAGATGAGACGGTGTCCTGGGGTAGCAGATGGCATTCCACACAACAGCATTCTTCATTTGTATTCTTTCTAATACTCAAATCCTAGGCATTGATACCGATCACTGTTAGATTCTGCATCATGTGACAAAGACATAATTTGCCCTAATTGGTTGCTCTCGCATTCCAGAAGACAATCCATGGATCTTCCGGGGTTCTTTCTGACCTTTCAATAGCTGAAAATCTCATGCAGTTAGCCTGAGTTCAAAACAGTCCACTCTTCTACTCTATTACTTCCACTCTCTT